TTAAAAAAGATAGAATAAGCACACAATTCCTCACATAATTTATATCACAACTCCCATCATAGAAGTCCTAAGAAAGACATAAAAATTACAATAACTTCTCTAAAGGGCTTGTCAATTTGTAGCATCATCCAATTCTTTATTAGGAGGGGCTAAAGAGTATTTGGATTTAGAACTCATAAATTGATGCTTCTTTTGTAGGGTACTATTTATTCTTCTTTAATTATTATAAGGTAATAAGGTGCTGCAATTTTTTCTCCCCTTTTGGAGCTTTTAATGTGAATTTGTCTAGTGAAATTCCCATTTTTTTTTTTTTTTGGAAATATATGAAATAAAACCTTGTAGGCAATGATTATGAGGAAATAAGGTATTGTTTATTCTTCTTTAACTATTTATAAGGAAATAAGGTGCTGCATTTCCTCCCCTTTTGGAGCTTTAGGATTCAAAGTAAATAAAATAAAACCTTGTAGCCAATGATTAGACAAATGTATTATTATAACATATGAGAAATGCTATAGTCTCGTTACAGAACCATTTCATCGGGGATTTGTAACCGTCGTGAATAGTTGATCTAACGGACCGTAGAATCTCCCTCTAACATATATACACATTTACACTCATATTTTATATTTTAAATACAATATATATGGACATATGATATGATTCATATGAAAAACACAATTTTTTATAAAAAATAATATATTTTTAAAAATTAACTGAAAATTGTAAAGTTTACTTGAACACTGATAAGAATCATGAAAACCATTCGTACCTTGCATCAATAACATAAAATTGGTAAAAATTCTTTAACAATTTTATTTATTTATTTATTTTTTTTTTGTGGTATTTGTAAAAGTATAGTGAAATAATAGATAGGACTTTTTTGAAAATAAAAAAAAAAGGAGTTTTATCTTGTCTAAGCAAAGTTGCCCAACGGGCAGACTGTAGCCCAGTAGTGCTCCGACACCACCTCCTCCGCCCCCATTTTCTCTCTCCTGCCCCCCCGCAAATTAGGGTTTCCTCTCTCTCTCTCTAAACCCCAACATTCATTCAAGCATCGAATTGGAGGGAAAATCTGCTCAACTTCTTTTTCGATCTGAGCTGGAAGAACACAGGTGGAGATATCATGGCCAAGACGAAGCCGGGGAAGAAGGACCTCGATTCTTACACTATCAAGGGCACCAACAAACTTGTCAGACGTATTTTTCATATTCCTCTCCCTCACTATATTTAATTTTCTCTTTTTTTTGGTCTGGGGTTCGATTATTATTATTATTATTTTTTGTTTTGCAAGAATGGTTTGCATTTTACTTGTGTTTTTTGCAGCTGAGTTGTTAAAAATGCAGTCTTTGAGCCTTTTTTTTTGCCTTTGTAGTTATTTCCATCTTAGCTGTGGTTAGAAGATGAAAAATGACGTGATATTATGGCTATTAGCTGATGATGAAGGGCTTCTTTTTAGCTCCCTTTGTTCCAGAGACATACATTTGCTTATGTAATTTGTGTATGATAGTTCCTTGCAAGTGCACGTCGTGCGTGTTAGTCTTGATTCTTAGTCAGTTCATGTTGAGCTTGTTGGTTTGTATGACGATTGTTACCAAGCTTCTATAAGGTGTTGATAAAAGTTTGGGTCTTTTACTAACTGAAATTTAGCATTTTCTCCAGTTTTTACATATAGCTGAAAAGATGTTGGTAAACGTTTGGGTCTTTTTATGCATGCATCTCTTGTAGCTGGAGACTGTGTGTTGATGAGGCCAGCCGATTCAGACAAGGCGCCCTATGTGGCGAGAGTTGAGAAAATCGAGGCGGATCATAGGAATAACGTGAAAGTGAGGGCCCGCTGGTATTACCGGCCAGAGGAGTCGATTGGGGGCCGCAGGCAGTTCCATGGTGCCAAGGAGCTCTTCCTGTCGGACCATTTTGACGTGCAGAGTGCCCACACTATCGAGGGGAAGTGCATTGTGCATACATTCAAGAATTACACCAAGCTTGAGAATGTGGGCTCGGAGGATTACTTTTGCAGGTTCGAGTACAAGGCTGCTACTGGTAGCTTCACTCCAGATCGTGTTGCTGTGTGAGTTTTATTTCTTTCGTTCTTCCTTAAAAATTATGATTATTTTTTTATATTTGCAAAATTTGAAATTCGGAGCTTAATAAAATCGAAACCACAGATTACCCATATGGTTATCTAACTAAGATCCTTTTTTTTGGTGGGTTTTGTATGCCTGAAGCTACTGCAAGTGTGAGATGCCTTACAACCCGGATGATCTCATGGTGCAATGTGAAGGATGCAAAGATTGGTAACACTGAGTTAGTTTTATAACCAATGGTCAAGTGCATTGCACGATTTTTTTTCCCAATTTTCATGATAACAATATAGCAAAATGTCATGTTCTTCTGTAGTGACTTCTTTTGATGTTCATAATTTGTTGTTGGTGTAGTTGGCAATGTATATTTTGCTTATGTTCTGGTTTATGAACTCAAAAGTTTTACATCAAGTGGTCAGAAAATGCATTTCGATCATGAAGTCTTTAAAATTGGAGATGTCTTCTACAAATTGCCCTATGATGTTAATCGAAATATTTGCTTAAAGATTTTCAATATTTACTTAAACTTATTTCGGTTTTCACTGAAAGAATTTATTTTTTTCCATTTGCTTTATAGTAAAGGTCAAATATGATATGATAGACAAGTATTTACTTATATTTTCTTACTTATCACTCTTTTTTATTTTTATTTTTTTCCCACCTGTTGCTTTTTAGGTTTCATCCTTCTTGTATGGGTATGACAATTGAAGAAGCTAAGAAGCTGGACCAATTCTTGTGCTCTGATTGTTCATCTGATGATGACGGTAAAAGATCTATGAACTCTTTTCCTGTATCGCCAGCTTCTGAGTCTAAGGTAAGTTTAAGATTGAATGAACATGTTTCTGTTTTGGTGGATGCTTATGTGATAACATCTTGAATTCTTTCGTTCGAGTTCAATGAGGTTTTTTGTTGAAATAAAATGTCGATCATTCTGTAACTTTCCGAAGCTGATTGTCTATGGTGCTTTTGTCATTTATGGTGAGGAATTCTGAATAAGTTTGTTCAAAGCTTGATTATTTTTTTCTTTCCTTTTCTTTAGGTGGAGCCGAAGCGCAGAAAAAGATGATAAGAGTAGTGCAGTGCTGCATCAAGCAATTGTACCCTCTTTTTCCCCGAACACAAGTGCCTCTATTTGTTGTGTATTGTGGAATTGTACAGTGCAGAGAAGATAACCGAGCTTATGAAAAATGAAAAGCCTGTGGCTTTTTTTTTCCTAATTTATGTTAAAATTGTCATCTGTTAATGCGCGTGTGTGATGGATTCGCTTTCGAATCACTCCCCAAAACATGGAAAAATCAGTGTCATCTTCGTTAAACCTACCTTTGTCCAAATTACGATCTTTCGTTAAAAGTTTGGTGTTTGTTTATTTTGTGTTAATGTGCAAACGTTGTTTTTCATGTTTGTGCTTGCTTTATGTTTCTCCGAAGGTATATTTAAGGGTAACCTAATAAAGAGTTGATTGGTGTCATCACATTTGTGAGGCAATTACATTTGATGCATATAATTAAACAGCACATCACTTAATGGTATATCAGTAACTGCAATTTTTAAGCAAAATTTATTTTCAATCTTGTGAAGAAGCTTTCAGATCTTGACATGGTCTCATATATAACATTTCATAAGTTAAAAAAGTAGCTTGGATCATGTGTGTTTACGCTCATAATATGGGGCGATATTACGAAGAAGACAAACGTACTTCTAATCGAAGGAAAGATGTTTTATTGAAAACAATATGAAGCTTAATACCCCCAAATCGGTCTTACACAGCTACTCAAAGATTTGACCAATTTTTCCCATGAATATATCAAGAAACAATCGAAACCTCTTCATATCGTGTTCCTTTTGTATGCTAAGATCGACTGAATGCCAAAGAAATATGATCTCATTTGATCGATCACAGGTTACTTCGTAAGTGTCCCATGAGACTCGTTTTCAGATCATTTCATTTTCATTTCACTTACTTCAATCACATAAAACCCAAAACAAGAGGCGAAAAAATCGCAAAATTATTCCCGGCATTTTCTTCTTTTTTTTCGAATCTCAGTTGAACATCACCGCTTCTTGATTAACTAACAACAATCAACACATCAAAGAACGGTCTTTGTTTCGGCAAAGCACCACAACAAAACAACAGCTTTTCTTAACAATCCAAAAAGTTAAAAAAAAAAATAAAAAACATTCATAATTACCATCAATCAATCATCGCCATATGCTCGGAAGCTGTACCGTTCTTGATAAAAACCGTTGAAATAAAGATCAGCCTCAAACCACTTAGGGTACCTTACGAGGTCCCCAGCATTGAACTTCATGTACTGCTCACTTCCCTCAGGCACAACTGCCACCTCACCTTCCTCAATGTACACGAGCTGGTCCACGTGCCAGTCCCAAGGGAGCTTGCACTTGCCTGTTTTCCACACGGACCACTTGGAGACCCCGAGCTCTGCCAAACGGTCCTTCGAGACTTTCCTTTCGACTTTCACATTGTAAAGCTCCTCCAATGGCTTTTCTATCCTCTTTGCTTGTACATCCCACTTCTTGTTGTAATGCCTTGGCGTAGAATTGGGAGTCTTTAGGTGTCGGATGCTTTTATTGGCGGTTAGACTTAGAGTTGGAGTAAAGATGGTGGCGGCCATGGAGCTCGACTTGATCGTATTGTATAAGCCCCCTGAGAAAACGAAGGAATGATCCACAAAATTGGAAACGAATCAAGGTAAATAAGTGAAGTGTTTACCAGGAAAAAAGAATTAAAAACAAAACATAAAACAAATGCAAAAAAGATGCAATCTTTCATTGAGGAAAACAATGCTATCATTTTCACCTGGTTCGAATCGAAAAGACATCAAAACAATAAAGATGCAATCTTTCATTGAAAAATACAACGCTTATCATTTTCACCTGGGTCGATATCCAAACAAGAGTAAAAAGGTTATTAAAAAGAACAACACAACTTCACTACTTCAACAATAAGATACCATTGGATAGTACAATATCTAGAGCTGTGAACGAACCGAGCCCGAGCTCAAGCTCGAGAGCCCTCAACAACTCTAATAATATCAATTAGGACTTCCTAAACAACTCCCAATCAGTAATATATGCTAGGGTTTAACTCGTAGACAGAGAACGGCTTTCTTCTTGTTCATGACCACAATTAGCAAGGAAATTCAGAAGGCACAAGAAACAGAAGTTAAAAAAAAAAACTTGAAATTCCTAAACTGCAACAAGAAAGAACAGTAATTTGAGCATTTTATTTCATTATTTTCATCAAAGATTCGATCTTTATGTCAATAAGGATGTGAAAACTTTCCCCTACCTTAGCCTTAATCAAACTTCAACCGAAAACCCACTTTTGTAGAACCGAATAAGCATAGAGCAAAGGGAAATCTAAGTAAACTGAAAAACCTACAATTTTACAGAAAAGCAATTGGTTGCTTACCTTTTTTTCCGGTTATTAGTGTGCAAAAATTGAGCTTGGTAGAGCCTTAAACCCCTGAGCCAGCGTAGTGGAACAGAGGGTTTATCCACAAAGACGAGCGGTCTTATAGTCCAGAAATAGTCCACAAAGACGACACGGGACCCGGCAACTCGGAGCTAGAACCGGTCTGGGTGGGCTATTTGGATATGTAACAATGGACCCGGTCAAACCCAATCAAAATCTGGCCAATCCAGTCTTGACCCGGTCCATATATATATTTTTTTAATATTTTTTATATAAAAATATAAAAAGTATGTAAATATATTGATATAATAAATATTTATTGTGAGATACAATTCTTTTAACACTTTGATAGTTTGATGTACAAATTTTATATACAAATATTTATTTTTGTTACTTTATGTATATTTATATGTCAAAATACTATATATATAATTTAAAAAATTTAAAATTAATTATCGATTCAGCAATTGACCCGGTGACCTGGCGGTTGAACCGGTGACTCGATTATTTGATTCAGCAATTGACCCGGTGACTCAGCTGTTGAACTAGTGCCCCGGTGACCGGAGACCTGCCCGGGTCAATTTTCGAGCCGATTTTAAAAACTATGCATGTATATCTAAAGGTCAAAATCTCTCACGGTATCATTTCGTGACGGACATTTTCCTATTTAGTAAACTATTACGAGTATATTTATACAAAACAAAAGGAGGGATTATTGGCTTCCAAGTGCCATTTTATTGGAGCAAAATTTTGAAACCAAGACTTTTTTGAAAATATTATAGGCAGGTTGAAAAATTTAATAAAGATAATGACTGGGAATTAGATTACTTATTTGCCAAATTATAACTTGTTGTCCAAGGCTGTATGAGAAATTTGACTTTTGGACCAACATGCTTGTATCAAGGATTGAGCTTTGACTCTTTCATTTCCAACATTTTTAATGTCTTTTGGGTTGATTTCCCAACAGTTTGTTTTATGAACAAAACATGTTAATACAAAGTGCATGCAAGTATTATATAAGTACATAAGTTTATAATGAATTTCTGATTTGTTTGTTTGGTAATATGACACCTATAATATAGATCATTTACTAGTCGTAGCATTCTTTCTAGAAAGAACTGTAAACGCGACGAATCGGGCTCGAATTCTTAATATTCGAGCCCTTGTCGAGTCGAGCAGTTAACAAACCGATGAACGAACTCGAGATTGACTCATTAGTGAGCCTTAATGAGCCGAATAATGCTAAAAATTAATGAAATTATGCAAAAGCCTTATTTGTCAAGCCTGACGAGCCAAATTAACTATACCAACTTCAGTTCGGCTTAGAGTCGAACTTGAGGTTTGACGAGCAATTGAATTGGGTTGACCCAAACTCATGAGTGACTCATTTTGTCGAACAACACTTCTCACCAAAATTGATATGTTTTCAAGATGTTATTAAAATTAAATAGTTGACTTAAAATTAAATAGTTGACCAATTGTATCACTGAAGGAAAAAAAAAGGTAAAAAAATATTATTTTATTGACTTTTATTTTTATTTTTTTTTTCTGAATTATTACAAACATATTTTATTGATCTATTTGCTACAAAAACAGGAAAAATAATCGATTTTGCATATCCAACTCGCAGCCATGAGTTTTCTCGCCGGAAGATTGGCAGGCTCAGAGGGTTCCTACTTCCTGCAGGAATCCAAACAGGCCGTGACCAAGATTGTTCGCAGCCAGAGGAACAATAACCCAAGCGGCGCTAAACCCCCGCTGCCCGCCGAAAACGGCGAATTTCCACCGTCGGCGGCGGATGTTCTCCCGGAGGTCCTGCGACACTCTCTTCCGGCCAAGGTTTTCCACTCTCCCGCGGAGGATTTGGGCCCTTCCACTCTCTCCAGAGCTTCGAAATGGGCTCTGAGACCCGACCCGAAAGTGTCTCCGCGCGCGTCGGCCGATGCGCTCAATCCCCTCTCGGCTTATGTTTCTCTGCCCCAGGTCACGTTTGGAGCCAAAAGGTTGGGTCTTTTTTCCCTCTAATTCCTTATGAATTTTTTCAATTTTTTTAAGATTTGTTTGATTTTTCTGGTTTCTGATTACTGTGATTTCGAAAAGGTGGGTTCTTTATAGGGTGACTTATGAGTCGTCACACATTGATTTTATAGGGTGAATGAGCCTAATTTTATGAGTCGTCACACATTGATTCTATAGGGTGAATGAGCCTAGTTATGGTTTATAAGTCTAGTGTGCTACTCCTCCCATCACCGGGTTTGGGATGGAACCTCAACCTCTTATCGTGCGCTGCATCTGGTAGGACCGCAGTCTCTTCCCTCGTTCCGGTACTTTCCTTGTGTAATATGGATGGAAATCGTATGAGGTTTGCTGCTGTAAACTGTAATTAAATTATGGGAGCTATCATTTGGGTTTTTTCTGTCCTCTGTATGTGTGTGTGTGTGTGTGTGTATGTGACTGTTGGACTTAAAGCACAACTGCTATCCTGCTCTGATGATGTGAAGTATGTGTAATTCTTTCCATTTTTTAATTTTTATGTTTTTCAATTGGTTTGCTATTCTTGAATTCTGTTGTAAATGTTCACTTGGAATCTCATGGTCTATTTGCTTTTATCTTTTTCGAAAATTTTGTACAATGGCATGAACCATCCAGGTGGCAGCTGCCTGATTCGGACAACTCGGTTTTAGCCTCGACTGCAAATGATTTGAGGCATGACAAACACACCCCAATCAACCCTGAGAAATTGAAAGCTGCAGCTGAAGGCCTGACTCAAAGTAAGCTTTGGTTTCAGTTAGATTTACCAATGGACAGTTATATCGATCTTGGGAGTTGGGGTTATATTGCACTCTCTAAAGGATAAGAACTTCCCGGAAATTTATGACTAGTCGTGTTATTTTCAAGACATGCAGGATCATGTGGCGAACAAAATGCTGGAAAGAGGAAGAAATAAACGAACACGATAATCTATGATTCTTGAATGAATACCTAGTAATTTGTCATGCGATAACTAACACAATTTGTTGATTCAAGATTGTACTGAAATGAGTAAAGACAAAAATCTCAAACTTCTTCGTATCGAAATCGCCACATTCGATAGAAAGTTGGTACTTTTTTTATTTAATAAAAGATAATTGAATGTTGAGACATAATAAAAAGAAAATGGCGTTGTTGCTAGGTGAAAGAAAAAAAAGGTGATTTCACTTATTGTGAATGATCATACAATCAACCTCACTGCTATTTTCATATCTACGTTTTATTTTATTTTATTTTTTTTTTATCTTTTATTTATTGGCAGTTGGTTCAGCATTTGCTATAGCTACAGCTATTGTATTTGGTGGTGCCACTTTGATCTTTGGGCTGGTAGTCTCCAAACTCGAGCTGCAGAATGTAAGTATTGATCTCTCAGGGCCCTGAGAATGTTTTTTTTTTTTTTTTTTGTCCTTCTAATATATTAAATATAGACTACCACATTTACATTTCTACCCGATTTGTGGTTGAATGTCGATTTTTGGTATGTGACAGTTCATTTAGGTTCTGGCTAAAAAGTTAAAGAAATAGGTAGCCATTTGTCACTTGAAAGATTTATGCGACCGTTCGTTTAGGTTCTGAATATCGTGAAATTGCAGATATGCACTTAAAAGGTATAAAAATTATATCTTGGTAATACCCATCAACTGAAGATGTTTGCCTTCTTTTCAGACTGATGATATACGAACCAAAGGAAAAGACATTGTTCGACCGAAGTTTGAAATGTTCAGAGAACAGTTGGCACCCTTAAGATCATGGGTATGTCAAATGGCATATATTTGTTGTCAATTATTCCCTAAAACTTGTCTCTTTTCATTCGTGTTTTTAATTAGTGTTTTTTCTTTTTCCTTTTTTTTGGTATTTTTTGCGGGTGATCGTTGATAGGCTGATAACGTGTCGAAAAAATGGCATTTAGAAAGGGAAGAATCCATGAAAGAGAAGCCATTAATAAAGGAGCTTTCCAGAACATTAGGTGCCAAAACTTCTTCCACTTGAAAAGATAGTTTATAAACCAGTTGTTATGTATGTGTGTAGATGTAATCAACACAACAGCTGTGCTGTACTTTATAGATGTGAGTTTGTGACTATATCATGTGAGATTATTATGTTGTACAAATATTATGAAGAATGAGATATGTGAATTGTGTTTTGAATAAAGTGGGTTTGTTTGAAATGTGTGTATTGAGATATTCAGTGGGCCTAACCGGACCGGCAAATTACCGTTTTGGGTCTGTTGACCTGTGAACCGAAACCATTGACTATGTTTCGAATCTGAATCGGCCAAAACACAATTTGGTTTCGGTTCACCTTTTTCTTTTAATCAGTGATTCATCCTGTTTTGGTTCGGAACCGTGCTGTCGGTTCAAAATTCGAATTTAAATATATCAGGTCCGAGCATCGATGGTTCACGGTTTCGAGCTGAAACCGAATGAACCCTTCCAAACCATCATAAAAAATTCAAATTTTCGAACGAAAGCTATATCCTTTCATTGTCCCCAAAAATTAAGTCCAAAATTGACACCTGCGCACATACACGTATGAGTGCGTGTATATTATATATATATACACATTAAAATACGTATGGATACGATTAATTAGTTCGTTACAGGTCTCAATCCCAACATTAAGCACATCCTTCTTCAATTCATGATGATCCATCATGACTGCTTTTTTGGTAGTTGTAAGAAATAATGCCCATTTAATCTTCACATTTATATTTGGGTCCCCATATTTATATATGTCCTGTGTGTCACATATAAATGAATTTACATACAACTAAGTCTACTATTATTATATTATGACATCTATCTCCATCAAACCTTAATTACAAAGTAATTTAAGAAAATATTCCATTCTCTATTGTCATGAAAATCATTCTCACATTCATAAAACTTATTATTAATTTATTTGTCCCACAATTCAGGGTGGATCTAATCGTTAGGCGGGTCGAACACCAGTCAACAAAATTGCATAATTGTACTAATAGATCAATGCATATAAACATTGCTTCATATATATGCATGCATCTTTCTCTTTATGTGTACTATGTTAATCAAACCCATAACCAATCAATACTGGAAAAATCATCAAAGTTCCAACATAATAATAATAATAATGCTGCTTAAAGCATGATGAAATAATGGACCAAACTTGAAGCTTCAAACTTGCATTCAAAACCTTATTTCATAAGCAAAGACCAAAATACATACCTCGTTTTATATACATTATTAATTCCTATGTAACATATTAATTCCTATATATATAACCACAGCCCACAAACAAGATGATGTGTATTATAAGTAACTATAATCAATACTGAATATGCTCTTGATTTCCAACTAAAGAATGAAAGATATAACACACACAACAATAAACCTAACATCATACTACAAACACATACATGTATATATATGTATATCTTCATCTAGTTATGGAGAGGATTAGATCCCGATGGAATCATGCGTTTTTGCGATTCAAATACCTTGGCCGGGCCTGTTTGATCATCATTGTAACGGGAGTTTCTTGAACGAAAGGCTCGCCGGAAAGTGATTTGGGTCGTCCGATGGCCGGAGGGGGAGGAGACGGGTTGACCCGCGGAGGCAAAGAGAAGGAGGCCAACGGCGAAGACGATCAAAACGAGGTTGGAGGTTTTTTTCATGGCAGAGTTTGTGTTAGAGACTGAGGTTTTTGGGAGAATCTAAGGTATTATTATTAAGGTGGGGTTTGTGAAAACTTAAGGTTAAATATATAAAGAAAGATAGATGTGTGTGTGGATATTGGTATATTAACTTGTAAGTGGGGATAGTGTGTTTTGAGAATGTGTATACCTTGACTTTGTTGCCCCATATATTGGATCTCATGATAGCTAGAGAGCTTAAGACCATTACATTTTTGAATGTGTTAGAGAAGTTTTCTCCTTTTTGGACAATCTTAATACACATTGTACATACGCACATTGACACTATTTCCACATATTGTCTGCAAATTTTTATTTTTGATACGCCAAATAATAATAATAATAATAATAATAATAATATTTTGCGGCACAACAAACTTAATATATTAATTTGTTAAAAATATATATAAAAAATATACTAATCATGAGGAAAGGAATACAGTTCCACCATGGATTCGGCGCCTTTTGGCATCCATTATTTTACAAAATGAGCGTCGATTACAACAAAGAACCTATGGACTGAATATTGTATGTTTCAATTATTACAGTTTGAACTAGAAAACAACAAACAAAATACAATTTGAAAGTCGAAAGACAAAGTCGAGGTGAGTGTTGCTCTTTCTGCAAGATGAATATGCCCTGTAATGTGCTGATGACGAGTTCAAGTGTCACGTCTCCAAAGACACAACAATTAATGTCTAGAAGGCTGTAGCACAACAGACTTTCGAGCTCCAATGAACTTGAACGGAGTCGACAACTGGACACTATATGTTATGATGCGTGAGACTATGGAGTAGAGAGTGAGATATAGATGCATGTCTTATGTATCCTTGTGCAGTTTTTACAATGTTCTATTTATAGGACTTCTAGCCATGTAGGAGATGACCAAAGGTCAACTGCCACTAAAGCGACCCAATCATCGTTGTTGAATGTGCTTAAAATGGTCAGGCCTTTTTTTAGGTGTTAACTCACCTACTTGATAACCTCCAAAACTATCAAGTGAATGTCACACGTCCAGCTTCATTATACTGGGAGAGATCTCATACGGGTTGAGTTAAAACTCGAGTCCAAACCCAAAATTTATTCAAATTTTAACTTGGGCTTCAATTTTACAAATAAAATTGCAACAAAAAATATTATTAAACCCGAATCCAAACTCGGTCTCACACGTTTAAGACCGGCCCAAACCGTTTAAGGTCGTCCAAGTCCAACCCAAATTTCAATTAACGAGGCCCAAGTCCCAAGATTGAGTGTAGGAGACACCGAAAAAAGAAAGGAAAAAGGAATAGAGAGAAATGCCTCAATCTCTGGTCGAATTGATTCGCCACGTCCACATCTGTACCCGGTCGGCGGCGGGCTTAACTGGCTACAACCCGGGCGACCTTCCCCTGCCCTCCCTGCCCTCCCTGCCGCCCATCTCCGCTGCTACAGCTGCTTCCCACCCATCGCCGTCGAAGCTCCGCTGCAAGAACTGTAAAGGGACGCTTCTCAGAGGATCGGAGTCCATCATCTGCGCGTACTGCGGCCTGGCGCCCCACGACGGCGTCCTTTCGGATCCCATCAGCTTCACCTCCACCGTTGGGTATCAGTGGCTGCTCCGCTCCCTCCGCCTCGATGGATCGGTGAGGGTTTCATTGATTTATTTTCTTCAGCTCGGAACTGCTTCGT